GCCTCAGAATTGTAGCGTGAGCTGTATCGGAGCGAAATTGGAGCGAGACAAAGCGACCGCTCCAGCCTTAACCCGCTCCGCGCTCTGACCAAATTCCGCCCGCTCCGCTCCTCGCTCACATGCTCTGATACAGAGAGAGAGATGTGTGTGTGTGTGTGTGTGTGCGTATATATATATATATATATATAATAATAATTATTATTATTATTATGTTATGTCCTTAGCCCGCCCGACATCCACATATATGTAAGTTTACATGTGTTTACAGCGTGTGGGAGGAGTATTTTAAGGCTTAAACTATATAAAAAAAATATATTTATATGGTCTTTCTATATCGCGGATTTTCACCTATCGCTGATGGGTCTGGAACGCATCTTCCGCGATAGGCGGGGGATCACTGTACTTCTGAAAGTATTAATGGACAAAAAGATTAACAGCACAATGAAACTATTTCTTCAATTAAATATTTTTTACACAATTAAAATAACATCAAATATGCTTCTTGGCTAAGACACAGATGTGAATACATTTATACTGGTACCAGGATAACTAAAGAACTTAGCCTGAAAATCATATTTCATAAATAGACAGGCCTTTAAATTTGCAGCATTAAATTAAAACAATTAAATGAAGGTTTCCGTTTTCCTGTCTGTACAGTATAGTCCAAAGCTATAACTGTAAACCATCTTTGGGACTAATCTTTGGAATTAAAAGTGCAGGATGCCAACCATCAAGGTACGGGCTGCAGTAACTTTCATTTGGGTCTCATTCTTCAGCATTAAAATTGCATGACACCACAAGATCGATTTGAGGACACACAATGTGCAAGGCTATAAAAACAGCAATGGCTGCTCTCGCTAAAATGCTATTAGCAAGATGGGCCATACATAATTTCCTTTGGTTCCTCTGAAATCTTAATGGGGATTAAAGAGCTACGTGGTGGCCAGGCCCCAGGGGTGGACAAGATTCACCCGGAGTACCTAAAGGCTCTGGATGTTGTGGGGCTGTCATGGCTGACACACCTTCTCAACAGCGAGTGGAGGTCAGGGACAGTGCTGCTGGATTGGCAGACCAGGGTGGTGATCCCCTTATTTAAGAAAGGGGACTGGAGGGTGTGTTCCAACTATAGGGGGATCATACTTCTCAGCCTTCCTGGGAAAGTCTATTCCGGGGTACTGGAGAGGAGCGTAAGATGGATAGTAGAATCAATGAGGTTTTCGTCCTGGCTGTGGAACACTGGGCCAGCTTTATACTCTTGCAAGGGTATTGGAGGGAGCCTGGGAGTTTGCCTATCCAGTCTACATGTGTTTTGTGGACTTGGAAAATTCTTACGACCGGGTTCCCTGAGGTGCTCTGTGGTGGGTGCTTCGGGAGTATGGGGTTCAGGGCCCACTAAGGTGGGTAATTCGGTCCCTGTATGAACAGAGCAGAAGCTTAGCCCACATTGCCGGTAATAAGTCGAATGTGTTTCCAGTGCGGTTTGGGCTCCGCCAGGGCTGCCCTTTGTCATCGGTCCTGTTTTTAATACTTATGGGCAGGATTTGTAGGTGCAGTCAGGGTGTTGAGGGTGTCCAGTTCGGTGGCCCCAGGATTGCGTCGCTGCTTTTTGCAAATGACGTCATCCTATTGACTTCATCTGCTGGGGACCTCCAGTGTGCTGGGGTGGGGCTACTGATGGCCCCACAGCTCGGTGCATTAACAACAGAGTTTACCCAGGTGAACAAGAGGGCTGTCTCCCTGCGCCTTCAGGTCGGGGAGAGGTCTCTGACTATCATCTGCGCTTATGCCGGAGGTGCGAGTTAAAGATCCGACGAACAGGAGCCTCTGCTAGACGTTCCCAGCAGACCTTCATTATGCGCTTAGGCCTACCAGGTCTGACTGGCCTCCTCCCCCGCCAACTGAGCCAACTCACCACCAGGTGGTGATCAGTTGACAGTTCTGCCCCTCTCTTCACCGGAGTGTCCAAGACAGAAGTCCGCAGATCAGATGATGTGATTATGAAATCGATCATTGACCTGTAGCCCCGGGCATGTTCGTACCATGTCCACTTATGGACACCCTTATACTCAAACATGGTGTTCGTTATGGACAAACCATGCACTGCACAGAAGTCCAATAACAGAACACCACTTGGGTTCAGATCAGGGAGGCTGTTCCTCCCAATCACCCCCCTCCAGGCCACACTGTCGTTACCTACGTGAGCATTGAAGTCCCCCAGCAAAACGATGGAATTCCCTCGTGGCACGGTAAGCAGCACACCACTCAGGGAGTCCAAGATGGCTGGGGGACTTCAATGCTCACGTAGGTAACAACAGTGTGGCCTGCCAATACAGTAGATGGTGTGTCACTTCGTTACAGATTCCTCTAACAATAACCTCCTTATCTGCCCTCAGAGCCCTCACAGCTGGTCTTCTCAGTTCCCAGTACAGACTGGAGTTACCATCAAGCCATGGTCTGCGACTCTTCTTGATATTATGCAGGGCGCCCTGCAATAGAGCCCTACATTGGGACTGGGATCCCGCGCAACGCAAATTTTGAGGTAGTGGGTAGTTTTAAGGTTACCAGCAGCAGGCGGCTAAAAATGGACAGCGGGTCCCAAGATTGTTGGTGGGATGGATATTGGTAATAAAATTTGGGCTGGAGAGTATAAAACTAAAGAAAATAGTGGAAAATCAGATATTTGGAAAAGCTTTAAAATCGTTGTAAATAAAGAAGGTAAAGAGCTGGACTTTGTGTTGTGAGCGGTGTGGCAAAGTGCTTGTGTACAATGGAAAAAAATCATAGCAATATACTCTTTCTACACAGCAATTTTAAGTAAGACAGATTCTCAGTTTCATTTAACTGTTTTATTTTGTGTTATATGTTCGTGTTTGTTCTGAGCCATTGTATTAAGTTGTGATGTTCAGCAAGTTTGAATGTATTTCTTTGAAATGTGTCTCAGGGTTTTCTGTGCAGATATTTGCATAGCTGATTAGTTTTTGGCCTAATTTTACATGTGTATTTGCGATTCAAAGCTGAGAGATTTTTGTTGAATTCGTTTTTATTTATTCTATTGTTGTTCTACATATTCAATGCATATAAATTAATTTCACCATACAATATATCAATTAATAAGTTGGGTGTGGGCGGGGTTGGACAGAAATATTGCAGGAGTGGGCGGGAGCGACAGAGACAAACAGCGGGAACCGGTGGTAATGGTCAGAAATTCAGCAGGAGCAGGCGGGAGCAGGATTAAAAAAAAATAGTCCCGCAAATGGCTTTACCCTGCAAGATGAAACACCTCTTTCTGGGAAAACACCAACACAACCATCATCAACCTTCAGGGTCTTGTCATGGAAGGTCTCACACATCGCCTTTGAATCGACAGTCACACCCAAGTCTGCAAGTTCCTCACAAAAACACTGTGCAAACTCATTAGAAACAGCTTAATCTTGTAGTCTGGCCAGGTCCAGCCTCATACTCCAAGTAGGTGGTAGCCTACTGGAACTAAGCTAAATCTTCAGAGGAGCAACAAGTCTGTGTTCAGAATTCATGAACTGGGTACTGCTGTAGTCCCTGCAGTTCTGTAGGAGCTACCAGCATCTGTCCACGTGGATGTGATCATTCTCCTTTGCTTCACCACCAGTATTGGAATAAAAAAATTCCAACGATGAGGCTAAGGGTGCTGGAATCAGGATCCAGTGTCCCGCAGCCCCTGAACTTCTGCAAAGTCAAGGAACATGGAGCCACTTTCACCATGGTCTGCTTGCAGGGCCAGATGCAGTTTAATGTCATACCCAAGACCAAAAAGGAAATATTTATCCATATTTTAAAAATACTAATCCTTGATATTTCTTCCTATATGCCCTACAAAGTGCTCTAAAGAAATATTCTAACGGAACCAGGCCATTTTCCGTTAGTGTGATGGTATAACTTAAATGACACATTAATTACCATGAAAATTGCCTTACTTTGTTTCACAAGCAAAGCTCTCGATCTATTGGTCCATCTTTGTCCCTACCCTCACCTATGGTCATGAGCTATGGGTAATGTCAGAAAGAATGAGATCGTGGATATAGACGGCCAAAGTGAGGTTTCTCTGCAGGGTGTCTGGGCTCCTTAGAGATAGGGTGAGAAGTTTGGATATCTGGGAGATTCTCAGAGTAGAGCCGCTGCTTCTCCATGTCTAAAGGAGCCAGTTGAGGTGGTTTGGACATCTGGCGTGGATGCCTCCTGGGCGGCTACCCGGAGATGTTTTCCGTGCATGTCCTACAGGGAGGAGGCCCCGGGGCAGACCCAGGACGCGCTGGAGGAATTATATCTCTCGGTTAGGCAGGGAATGCCTCAGCATCCCCCCCGAGGAGCTGGTAGAGGTAGCTCGGGAGAGGGAGGTCTGGGTGTCCCTCCTGAAGTTGCTACCCCCGCGACACCAGATAAGTGGATGGTAATGGATGGATGGATGGACGAGAAGAATTTTATTCATTTTAATTCAAAGAATTTCAATGCAAGCACACAACACAAGAATGTCATTTAATCCATGCATCCATCCATCCATGCATCCATCTATTTTCTACTGCTTATCCTCTCCTTATCTACTTTCTAAGGTTTAGCCCAGACAGCCTGCGAAGGAAATTCATTTCTGTCACTTGTATCCACCATCTCATTCTTTCAGTCACTTTCCAGTGCTGATTACCATAGGTGAGGGTAGGAACGTAGATTAACTGGGAAATCTAAAGCTTCGCCTCGGCTCCCTCTTTACCAAGACAGAACAGTACAGTGTCTGTATTACAGCTGACTCTGCACCGATCCATGTGTTGATCTCCCGTTCCCTTCATCCCACACTTGTGAAAAAGACTCCAAGATACTTAAACACCTCTTCTTGAAGAACCAACCCATCCCTCACTAGT